AGGATAGACTTCAAGACTTCAGCTTGTGTTCGTGAGAAACAAGACACAGGATGCTAAGCGACATTCTTCATTCCCTGCTCATGCTTAGTTGGAAGGTGGAGAATGCATTATGGGGACTTCTACACATAGGCTATACAGCCGCGATTGCGTTCGGACTACCGTGGGCTTCCGTTCTGCCATTCCCAAAACAAGCCTGTTGTCAATTATTCTTGCCCTGCGCCTACTGCTGCTTGAAAGCTTCCGCGAAAACAGCAGTAGACCAGAAGAAAACCTCAAAATGTCATAACGACTGGCCCAACCAAACTCAGGGCAACTAGCAGCCTCGCCAGATTCGGTTGCCCAGCCTCGCCTGCGACAAGTAGTCTATCAACAGCAAGAACTTGCGACCCAAGCTTCGCATCAACGCACTGACACCCTACCAACAAGAGAGAACAAGAGCCAACAGCCAGTGGCCAGTAGTAGTGACACCTGCTTCCGGCCTGTGGAGTACGGCTGGGCGCTTGGATGGTTGGGTCTCGCTGAGAAGAGCAAGACTCTTATCACAGTTGAGAGCACGTATTCGCAGCTTCATGGGACACGCATTCCGAAGCTGTTTTTGCTTAGCGTCCTTTCCTGGTTTGCTGTATGTTGCTGACCCCGCCGAAATCATGACCGAATCTGAGGCTCATCAGCCGACTGTTGTTTATTGGATGCTGACTGATTTAGCTTGAAGCGCGAAGTCGATCTACAGAGGGATGTCTCACCTGACCTCGGCAGGTTCTCGTTCCATGTTTCTACTGGCATGAAGCTTGACACGGGCCAGTGCCAAGACTGCGGCAAACCCAATTGCCAGATATTCAAGGACGGTTGCCTTTCAAGTTCAGGCACTTTTGCAAGGAGACAAGGGAGCTAATGTGGCCATGCAAGGGTCATAAGACGTTCACAGCATGTAGCTCTTAGATTAGTAATGTTGCTGTCGAGCTGGGGCCGGGTGTTCCATATGCTCTAATTGGACTGCTCTTGCGCAAGCTAGCGAGCCGCCTTGCACGATCCCGCAGGCCTGCTCACTTAGATAGGGCAGAAGATTGCAGATGCACACTTGATTAAAGGACACAAGCGACGGTGGTCTGTACTGCAAAGAGTGAACCTCGTCAGACTTATGGTTGCAGGAAGGGGTTGCAAGGGAATGCAAGCACGTACCAGAACTTCAGACGCAGAAAGAAACGCCGGGTTGCAGTCTTGCGCGTCGTACCTTGAGCGTCATGATAATATAGCGTTCCGCTCTCAGGGCAGGGGTTGAGTTCTTGGTGTTGCCACCAGAAACTGGACCGAGCTGATGGAGGCAATATCCCCTCAGTGCCACAGAGACGAGCAGGGGACAAATCTTCTCGCAGATGAGGATGAAAAGAAGGGAAGGAAGTTTAAGAGGAAAATGCTTTGGGGCAACTCCACACGCTGAGGTTGGCTGCACTACTACGGGGCCCCGCCTGTGCAGCATTTCACGACTGCAGATCCTGCCAAGCACTTGAGAGAGGACAAACAGGCCTTCTGCAATAACATTCTTGAGTTGATGCAGCACCGAACTTTGTGTAGTTGCAAGCGGTACTGCTTTTTGGGAGGTTAATTTCAGTGAGCGCGACGTCACTGACCTCCTCCCAGAGGATGTGCCACATGGACACGCGGCGCACAGCGCAGTGGCTTGGCTTTGAGGAGCACAACTGCATTTGTTTCAATCATTTTCAACATGCATGGCTTCTAGTAAGTTTGTTGAGCTAATGAGCGCTGGGTGAACGCCAATTCTAGGCAAAGGCTGCACTATGCCTCGATCCAAGGTTAAATATGCAGCCGCGAAGAAAGCTTTCTGCTTTCGCTGGCAGGGTGCTGGGCAAAGCGTCCATTTTCAGACCACCATACCGGCAGCGGGCGGCTCGCGGATGGCAGCAGCACACGAGCTGCAGCAAGAATAGCGGGATGTGGCAGCGTCGCTCAAGATATGCCGCTGTAATATTGCCATGCACTTGCCTTTTGCGGCCTTGGTTGGCTGTGAAAATGCTACTTTCCTGTTGCAAAGGCTGCGTCAGTATATGCGGTTGAGAGGTGCGAACAGTACGTTAATGCACAAGACTGCTCGTAAAGCTTGGTATTTTTGAGGCAGTCATTGCAAGATCGTGCTACGTGAAATTCAACCAGGGCTGGACGAAGGACGCGGGAACCAGCTTCAAGGATTTTCATGCCGGCGCGGTGTGGACAGCAGCATGCAGTAGAATGGAGTGCCATGTGCAGACATGCAGGACAGGGTCCGTGAGTTCCGAAACCAGTGGCATGGCTGATTTGGCCAGCGTCGACTGTTGCTGCATTGCCGACACTTCGCGAAGGGGTGACCAAGGGGTGACCACACGTATCACATATCTGCCGGCTTATGTATCCGAGTGCTGTGACATAGAAGAAGTACAGATTACTGCGTCTCAACGAAAACTCAATTCAACAGTCTCCGGGCACAAACCATCACTAAACCTCGCAAAACTGATAGCATTATAGTATACAAGACTTGTTTCCGTGAGCTCGAATCTTCAGCTGTGCCAGACCTCTTCGCCTTGCACACCCTAGGTGCTACGCAAAGCTCGGAGGTCGCGTCCTGCCCTGCTCGCAATCGTCACAGAAGAGCTTCTCAGAAGGCCGTCCGGGCGCCTGAAGACTGTGCCCTGTGTTGAGCTGAATGCATCAATGACGAGATAGAACGAGGGCCTGAAGAGCGTTCCACAAGGATGCTTCTCAAGGAGGTGCAGTATGTGAGCAGTATGCATCCTGTGCAAGCCCGGCCTACTCGTTTTAGGCTAACAGCTGAAAGTGCAAAGATCTTTGTCAGAGCCTGGCTACAAACTGATCGTGTTCGGGAGGCGGCCGCAATACCAGCAGAGATTCCTATCAGGAAGCTTGCAAACCTCGCGCTATGAAAGCTGCAAACGCTGAGCGGCTTGTTGTGCAGCTAAACTGCATCTACAGCTGACCTTCATGAAGGGTAGGTTTGGGGTAGGTGAGCTAATGGCCAGTGCACACTTGTCCCCGGCATCTCCCTTTGTAGTCTTTTTGTCGCAGGTGACTTCGTTCTTCAGGTTATTACAGTTGCAGGTGCCTCGCGTGCAAATATCTCCAAGCCCGCCCGAGTGACCGACTATTGTAAGTTCCACATTTGCGTGCGGAATGCCCAGCGGCATTAAAAAATATTGTGAGCTGCAGAGAGCTCTGTTGGACTCATGCGACATCATGTGCAACTTTGCAGCCAAACACCTCTGAGTAGTAGTTCACTGTCTAGGCTAGGGTTCTCAAGAATTCCTGTGCAGCCTGGGCTGGAGGCATCCCTCACCACAACCTCCAGCGAAGCGCCTGCGTACATCGGAACCGCCTAGCTCACCAGGGAAGATGGTCAGCATGAGGAGCCCATTACTCAATGTCATGCTGGCACTCCTGACCCAGACCTGTCAAGATGTTGCATCCTCCCCGGCACCCAACTTGTTTGTTGTTCGTCGTTTGCTTTGATCACATGGATCACGCCGACGCTCTGCATTTCTTGTGACAATCAATGCCTGCCGCATGGCACCTTCAGTCGTTCAGCACCATTACGGTGCGTTGCTGCTTGTGTTGTTAAGTGTCAATGTGAGATTCACTGCCTCCGTGCTTTGCGGCGATTTAATTTGCAGTGATACGGACCCCGCAAAAGTAACTCCAGACTAACCAGCAATCATGGAAGCTAAGCATCGGCTTTGCGCAATGGCTTCCCAGTGAACAACCTAAGCAAGGATTGCACAGAACGAAGTCTGGGGCTCGGCAAGCAAATAATAGCACAACCTGCCAGGAAGCAGCCCAGTTCTTCCGGCTCGAGGGGCCACCAAGGAGGGCAGGCACTGCATACTTGCTGATGCGCCAAACTGAAACTACCTCGTTCGAGCAACGTCTGTGTTTGTTGAGGCGTTTCTCCAGCCAACCGACTTGAAACTCCTGTTAGATGATCCGCAGGCCTTAAACATTTCACGGATGTCGGCTAGATACCTGCAACCTGTCCTTGAGGCCTATTCAATTCCTTCATTGGCGCAGAGGGAAGTGCGCAGTATACGCTCACAGGGCATGACAGCTTCACAAGCTTCTCAACCCGCTTCGCAAGCTTCGCAAGCTTGGCAAGCGGACGGCTGGCTCCAGGAAGACCGGCCAAGGCCAAGGCGCCAGAGTTGCTCCCGTTGTTCCCATCCAAAATTCCACACTGCTTCGTTCAGTTGCACCCTGCAGGCCAGTGAGCGTTGAAGGCAACATGCACCGTGCTGCTCGTACGGAAGAGGCCAGTGCAGGCGCAAAGCATGCTGGCATGCAAGATGGCCTGCACAAACTCTAGTGATTACAGTTTTCGTGACAAATTGGCGGAGGTTAGCTCGTTTCGTAAAGCGCCTGCTTGTCAGGCAACATCGAGTTTGGTGGCTGCTGCAGGTGCTGCTGTCACAGGCGGTGCTGTCCTGGCACACCGCCCAGCCCTCGCTCCAGAGTTCCTTTAGGCAGAAGGGTTAAGTGGAGCAGCATGCTTAATCCCTTCAAAACTGTCCGAGCTTATTTCGCTACTGCGACGACAGCGAAACTTGCAACTGTGTAGCCTGAGCACCTTGACTGGTGGCTTATGGATGCTTATGGGAATCAATCCCTGATTGGCGCAAGTTTAGGTCGTGAATTTATTATGATATGGCTAGCACCAGCGTCATTGGTCTGAGGATATCAGGCGGTCATCACTCGTAATGTTTATTCAACCAGAAGATCTGGATATTGATGCAGAAGGAATACTGCGCATGATGAAAGAACTGTATGCCGAGCTCAAGCATGTACTCGACCACTGCTTAGCACCGACCTGTATGGCAGATTGAAAACAACCGTCATTAGTTTCAGTGCGCCTGGACATCATGAGCAAAATCATCGATAGCACGGGTATGTCTCTTCAGTCTGGCTCTTGCTATTGCCTGTTGTGGTTCTTGCTGCTATTCGCAATGGAGCTGATGCAGGCGATGCAGAGATGGAGAATTCTCCGTGCCGACGGAGCTGCCGCTGAGCATGGCATTTTAAGTGCTACGGAGCTAGAGCCGCTGAAGAGCAAATGCACTCAAGGTGTGGGAACACAACTTTCACGTCGCCACAACGACGTGAAAGAGCGCATCCAGGCAGTGCAGAAGGCGACCCAGCTGCCGGCTTCGAAGCATGGAAAAGCAGATGCTTCGGAAGAAAATATCTTTGACAGCATCAAGAAGGATGGATGTGGCAAAGGCGTGGAAAATAGGTCCTGCAAAAACGTTCCTTTGACTTAACGCATGTTGCAAACCTAGTTGGAATCCTTGGCAGGTCCTCAAGACACTTCAGAAAACCTTGATGCGCAATCCTTGCCTGCAGAGAGCCAGCACCGCCCGGAAAGCCAGCCAACACCCTTTTGCTGGGACCCACCTGTAACAAAGATCCGGCATCCAGTTCCTGAGTCGATTCCCACACCGCTTGCAGAGCAGCCGGTTGCATGGCCGGCATCCCAGCCGGTGCAAGTTCCACAGCCAGTTCTGGAAAGCTTGCCAACTCCTTGGTTTAGCCAGACAACACCCAAAGCGGAGGTGTCAGACCGCTACATCAGCGACCCAACTCCCATGCCTTCTCTACGAGAGGAAGAGGCCCTACCCAGCTTCAGTCTTCCCACTCCAGTGCCAGTGGAACCAGCATTCCTCAACCGCGACCCCAATACGCCTCCGAGATCTGCTGACAATGAAGGCTGCAATGCTTGATTACTAGTGCCTTTGATTATGTATGGTCATTTGATGCGTGTCATGTTCATTTTGTTTCAGGGCCCATGCAAAAGGGCTTAGAAAGAATTGCCCTCTGGTGTTTGAAGTGTAGTGACCGTTTCGTTTATGAAGGCCGGGGTGGAGGATTTGTTCTGATAGCGTTTGCAGACACCGCAAAAATGACCAGCTGGCACACCAGAAGATGTTTCAATGAGACTTATGAGCCGCGCTTCATATGTGAAGCATACACTGAAAAGTTAACATGCTGGTTGTGGGCTGGAATTTGGCGCTGGGGTTGCGGAAGGAATGCATGAAGCAGCATTATAACCAGTGTGGCAGTGTGGATGACTCTCACCAACGGCTTTCATCTGGCAGAATAGGGAATAAGCAGCAGCAGGACCCTTCTCACAAGAGTTGTCGTGAGCAGGCAGGTCCGCAAAACGAAGGCGACCCCAAAAATAAGTGGATGGACGAGGTAAGCAGCAATCAAACTCATGAAAGTACCGGGCATGGCAATGTGCTTGACTGCACTGACAGTCGCCGCCACGCAGTCGACGTCGACTGATGATGCCAAGTGTCCACCGAAGGACCGGTCTTCAAACCGAATCATGGGTCTTCAAACCCAATCATGGTGATTGCCGTTACCCGTCAGGAGTCTCCTTTCGCAACTTCTTTGGACGTGCCATCCTTACCACGATCTGAACCACCGATGGGGATGCCTGGGTCGCAAGAGGATTCAACAGGCAGACATTTTTCAGTTTCTGAGAGAAGTCTCGCAAGGTTTGGCAAAGAGGGTTGGCAAGAAGATCCTGCAAACACTGTAGAGCTTCCACCATCATTTGTAAGTCTGTCAGGACAGAAATTTCGGCCAAAGCACCGCGCGGCACTGCGGCGTCTTGGGGCAAGTTATTTGCTGAAAGGAAGGCGCAAGTTGGTTACTAATGTCCTTGACAACCCTGAAGAAACAGGCGATTGCCCTGACCATGATACATGCTGTGGATACGGCTCAGTCAATTGCGAAAGCTAGACACTGACTCAGCTTCTTCTCAAGCAATAGCGCGCAATAGGGGCTGAGACACCTTCAGCGTGAGGGTTTGAAGCCACACTGCACACGCGAGAAGGAAGATGCCTGCTCAGAGTCGTCTTTGCATTCCTGAGCGAAGATGTGAAAGCCGTATAAATGGCAAATGCCCATAGGTAGGGCCTCAAAACGACAAAAAGAACAAGCATTCTGAGCAGCACTGGGAGTTGCCAGCCCTCACGGCTCACGGAATTCTGTATGAGTGCAACAGCGTCGCCCATGTGCGAGCGCTTGGGTGTCCAGTCGTAATTTTGTCAACGCCTACCAAATGCGCTCCCACATTAACACTACTTGGCAACGCAACCCAGCCTGAAGGATGCCTGTTACAGCTTTGAGGAGGGAGTACTTTGAGTTAGGATTCAAGCTAAAGGTGTGTGAGGATGACGACAGAACAGATTGGATAAGATCTGAGGCAACAATGACAAGAACACATATGGTCAAGCCGGAGTCTAACTTCGCAGCGCTACTGCTGCAGCGGTCGCGTGCAGCAGCAGCTAGCCGTGGCCTGTCACAGACTCAGCGCAGAAGTACTGGGGATTCAAAGTTAGCTTCTTGTGCATCCATGAGCGGCATCAAGGCGAACACCAACGGCTTCGCAGGCTGCATCCATACCGCAGCTTCGAAAGGGGCAGCCCATCGAGCCAGAGGAGATGGAGATGGCAACTTGTCCTCACCGAACTCAAGACCTTCAAGTGGCTAGTTTCTCCCACGGCTGCGCTCTGCCCCCGAGAGCGTACAGCTAGGCAAAAGCGAAGCTGAACGAGGAAGCGCCAGAGTCTACTCATCCCCCCCGGCAGGAGCTGGTATTGAGCAGTGTGGGTTGCTGTAGACTCAAGCGGCTCAAGTCTGTTTGTCAGCCTTTCGAACTTCCTCATGAGTCAGGAGACACCCGAGGCACTGCCCCTAGCACCAGAGGCTTGTCAGCTAGCAGCAGGCCTGCCAAAGATGCGCGCAACGCTTTGCAACTTGGCCGGCATCGCGTGCTGTATGCTTCCCCATTGCAAAACCAGAAATTGATCTGCCTGTCAGTTCCGTGCTGCAAGGACAGCCAGTACCTCCTTTATCCTCTCCAAGTTGTGTTTGCTGCAGCGAGCAGCATTCAGCCTGAGCCGACACTACAGGCTTTGTGTACAGAGAATTAAGAGTCCAAGACCCGGCACCGCGGGCAAGCCGCGGTCACAGAATGGCACTGCAATTTTTGGTGCTCGAGGATGCGTCTTGCGGCTTCTTGCCGAAGAGTAGCGGAAAGTCATTTCTTCGAAGTGAAGGGCACCATGGTGGTGCTATGGATACTGCATGCAGGAAAGTTGTTAGTCCAGCCCAGGCCTCGCATGGCCGTAAGCTGCCAGAAACTCAGCAGTTCTTGGTTCTTTCTGCCCACTGCACAAAAAAAAAGGGCCGAAAACTGTAAAAGCGTCAAAGCCGCAGGCAATGTCCAGGTCGCCGGCCTACCAGACAGCGCAGATGAGGATGTTGTCAGGCTGATGCACCAAAGCGGGTCCGTTCGGTTCTGTGGCCGTGGAAATGCAACTCATGTACCCTCCAAAACATGGGGTGTTGGGTAATTAATGGCCTGCAAGAGCTCCCAAGCAATCGGTCTATATATATATATATAAATATATCTATCTATCTTTATGTGTATATATATATATGCCATCGATTCGTGCTTGCATCTCATATGTCAGACTTCTGGTCCTGAAGGCCAGACGCAGCTTGCTCATAAGCACCTGTGACAGGCAGCTTTTTGCACCATATGGCCTGGTGGAGTCTGTGAAGGCAAGTGCTGGTGAACCGCATTGCTTCTGGCACAGCGCTGTGTCTACGTCAAGAGGTTGAAGACATAACACCTGGAACTTAGAACGGTCAACTTCATCCGCTTATTGTCTTGCAGGTGATGCCACGAAAAGGTGGCATCCCAACCTGCGGCTTCGTGCACGGTCCTTGGTTTCTGTGACGTGAAGCTTTGATGCCTGCGGCCCCGTACCCTGTGAGGAAATATCAAAGCCCAGAGATGGCCAAAACCTGAGGTGTTCTTGGGGCCCTCATTTTGGCAAGATATGAAAAGAATGCTAAGGCCAGATATGCCATTGACGGGCTGCGTGGCTACCAGCTTCTTTGCTCATCAGATGTCGCTTTTTTTTGGCGGCGCACAGCAATGCTCCATCACGGTAGTCATCAAGCTGTGATCCTTTACATGGCGTGCTAGCCCAGGCTGGAAGGTTGCCAGCTGACTGTGAGGCTAACAAGCAATGAGCCGCTTGACACTTACAAAGGCGCAAGCACCCAGGAAGCGGTCACCTGAATCCTTCTCATAAAAAGTTGCAGGTGGCGCGGGGCCTCCAGCCAACACGGGACCCGGCCTGTGGAATTGAATTGACTTGGCAAGACAGGCCAGCCTGTGTGACCAAGGACAGACGCAATGCGGCGGTGGATCCCATGGTAAAGGCAGTACAGGGTGCATTGTACTGGCAGCAAAGCTGGCAGCACCTTTTGGCGACTTCCAAGGACAGGGGCCACCTGTACCACCTGTCGAGCCAAGCTGAGAAAGCTACGAACACTTTTTCCTTCCAGTTGAGTTATTAACATTAATATTAACAATATTAATATCAATAAAATTAATTTAATGGCTGCCGCCAGTGCCGC